TCTGGTTTCCTGGTCACATCCACATGCTCTTGATGTGCCCTTTCACTCGTTTCTTCAGACTTCTCTTCTGAAACAGTTCTCTGTGTGTTTCTCCAGGTGTCATCATTTGGATTACAGTTTTCATTATCTAAACTGCATGCAACTTCGGCAGCTTTTTGAAACTTATTTCTTTCTGTTTCCCACATCTTGTTTAATGAACTGTATGATGTGAAAGGAAGTGAAACACAAGTTGTCTGCATGTTATTTTCACTGGAATCTGTTGAACTTTGTTGGTTGGTTGAAGGTGGAGGAACACTGGAAGTGTATGAGTTGGCTTTAAAATATCCTTTAGAATCATGATCTGTCCAAACTGCAGAAGTAGCTTGGCTGGATAGTGAAGTACCGTTTGTGAAACTGGTATGTTCCCGTGGTGTAAGGAATGTATCTTCTCTAGCTCTGATGTGTTCTGCTTCACTTGTGAGATTTGAGCTTAACAGATGGCAGCCCTGATAGGCGTGATTGCCCCCTATTACCTTGGCCTGAAGAGGCTTCCAGGGTTCTGCATAGTACAACGGGCCCCTAATCTGGTATAGTGGTGTTGAATGCAACAGTTTTAATATATTTTCTTTCTTTTTTTCATATGCGTGTATGCTGTCGTCTTCAACACACTTTGGCGGCTCTTCAATTATCACAGGTTCCATAGAATTCACAGGTTCCACAGAATTCACACTTTCTGACTGTTCCAAGCACTTAGTCTCACTTTTGCTTGCAGATTCACCTTGAATTGATAGATCTTCAGCATTAGGCTTCGGTACCTCAGTGTAAATTTTAGCAGATTCCCTCTCTGGCTGATATGTAGTAAACATATCATCATTTTTCACACCCTTCAAAGAAGGTTGTAAAGTGTCTCCACTGGTACCTTTTGTAGCTATTGAACTAGTATATCTCTCACGCATACGGCATTGCTCTTTCAGCACAGCATCCATGTCTCGTTCAATCTCATTTAATTTTCTGTCTGATTCTGACAGCAACGTTGACAACCACGAGGAGGAGGAGTAGGAGGATGAGGTAAATTTACCTCTTCTCTGCCTTTGGGCACTGTATACTGAAGATGGAAACCTGTAATATAGTGAAGATCTTGAGCGATGGTCAAAGGATAGTGCCTGCTTTCTGGTGTTCAGACTATCGCCAGTCTTGCAGTTGAAGATCTTCATTTCTGCAGGCTTACCCCCCTGTCCTATGTCAGACTGAAATGTCTTTGCTTGGTTCGTCAGCCACTGTACCTCCTCCTCCCTGTTGACAGTTTTTGCTGCTGGAAACCTATTGCTGTGATAACTGCTGTTGGTACTAACTGGACTTTCATCTCTGGGGTAAGTGTCACTTTCACTATAATTCTGAATTCTGCTGCTCTTCTGGGATGACCTAATATCTCCACCTTCCCTGTTCTTTTCTGGGCCAGCTTCAATCTGGCACTGCTTATATCTCTCGTAGCGCAAATTTTTACACTTGTGTCTGAAAACAGATTTTAAGTATGCATTCATTTTCCTTTCTCCTCTTTTATAAGATCTCTTTCTATATCGTAACTTTCTGATCTTCCCGCTCCACCTTTTTGTTTCATAATAAGGTTTTAGTTTATCCTCTGTATCTAAACAGGATCTTTGGCAACCTTTGCCCTTATGTATTTCTTGATTGCTAAATATATCACGAGGTACTTGTGCAGAAGAAGGAATCAGCAATGAGTAATTAAATACTGTCTTATGTTTAGAGCTCAAATTTTCCAAGTACTGAGCATGATCTAAAGGACGGGCCCAAATGTGCTTTCCTTCAACCACAGGAATTTCAAAATGTGGCAATGAGCGTAAAGTAGGCAGATAGTATTCCTTCCTGTTTGGGGCTCTTTTCATTGGTGACGCATGTGGCAATACATCATCCTGCCATAGAGAATCACCAGAGGAATGGTCTCTTGAAGAAGTTCTTCGTTGTCTCTTTTGTGCAATAAGCCTCAAGTCAACTTCCTCCTCCTCCTCCGAAACATCCACAGCAATGTTGCTTGCCGATTTATCTTCTGGATTCACTTCTTCTGACAAGGAAGCATCAGATGTTGGGGCGCTGCTTCCTGGTTTGGCTTTTCCTTTCTTCCCTTTCTTAGACTTCTTTTTCTTGTCATCTCCTTTTGGTGTACTAGGGTCTTTATCATTAGATGCCTTTTCTCCAGCTACCAGTGACTGATCAAACTCATCTTCCTGAACAGATTGCTTCTTCCCTCCAAGTTCTTTTCCCTCTGCAGACTTTCTCTTCCCGCCAAGTTCTGTCCCTACAAGAGACTTTCTCTTCACAAGTTCTTTCCCTTCAACAGACTGTCTCTTCACAACAAGTTCTTTTACTTCTGCAGACTTTCTCTTCCCGCCAAGTTCTTTCCCCTCAGCAGACTTTCTTTTCGAACCAAGCTCTTTCCCCTCTCCAGACTTTCTCTTTTCACCCAGTTCCTTTCCCTCTCCAGACTTTCTCTTCTCACCCAGTGCCTTCCCCTCTCCAGACTTTCTCTTCTCACCCAGTGCCTTCCCCTGTCCAGACTTTCTCTTCTTCTTCTTCTTAGCCTTCCCCTCCTCCTCAGACGTACTGGACTCCCCAAGCGCCAACCCCTGTTCCGGCTGGCCTATCTCATCAACTGCCACCTGTTGCCCAGCCAGCATCATCTGATCAGGAGGCACAGTGTCTTCATACCATGGCACCCCTTCGCCTCCCACCAACTGTTCAGAAGGCGCTGCACCGACAGGAAACACAGGCTCTTCTGCTGCAGGATACATCAGCTCGTCAGGATAGACGAACAAGGGTGGCTGTGAGGGTGGGAGAGGAGCTGCTGGTTCCTTGGGCGTGTTTAGTTCTGAAATACAGATTTCAGTATTTCATTACTGATTGTTTCTTATATGGGTTCCTCTGGACCCATTGAAGGGGCCTGGGTGGGGGTGGGGGGGGGGGGATAAACTTATTGCCTCCCCATGTTGTCAAAGGCAACTAATTAGAGATTCACCTCCAAAGTCAGAGTGCATCTGCCTGAGAGGTGAATAACCAACAGTCTGCATAAAAATATGCAGATCTGTAAAATGGGTGCATGACAGACTCAAGCTCTGGAAGAAGGCCAAAGTCCAGAAACCAGAAAATTTCTGCTGGAGTTCATAGTTGATGAACGCCAAGAAGAAAAAGAAGATTACTCACCTGTGTGTGTGTGCACACAAACAGACACACAGAAAGTGCTGGAAGAAAAAGGAAGAGAGAAATGGAGGAAGAAAAAGATGAGAAAGAATAAGAGAAAGCAGAAAAGGAAATGAAGAAGAGAAAGATCTTGCAAAAGGTTGAAGAATCAGTACATGAGTTGATCAGCAGCACCAGAGCCAAAACAATGAAGGGATAGGACAATGGAGGGGTAGGACAATGGAGGGATAGAACAATGGAGGGATAGGACAATGGAGAGATAGGACAATGGAGGGGTAAAACAATGGAGGGATAGGACAATGGAGATATAGGACAATGGAGGGATAGGACAATGGAGAGATAGGACAATGGAGGGATGGGACAATGGAGGGATAGGACAATGGAGAGGTAGGAGGAAGATCTTGTAAAAGGTTGAAGAATCAGTACATGAGTTGATCAGCAGCACCAGAGCCAAAACAATGAAGGGATAGGACAATGGAGGGATAGGACAATGGAGAGATAGGACAATGGAGGGATAGGACAATGGAGAGATAGGACAATGGAGAGATAGGACAGTAGAGGGATAGGACAATGGAGAGGTAGGAGGAAGATCTTGTAAAGGATAAAGAATCAAAAGTGAAGCATAACTTAGTTCAGTATCTACCTCATGATTGGCACCTTTCCGTCTGTTCAGACAATTGTGTTACACTACGCTGTGAGGAGGCATGAGACTCACAGCCCACGGCGATGGCGAGTGTCACTAGCAGGACCCGCCCGCGTGAAGAAAAGCCTTCCACAGTTATACCATGGTTCCAGGGCCATTGTTGTCAACATTTCTGTTTAGTGTGTTTATTCTCAGACGCTCAGCTCTCATCCTTTCTGCAATCATTTCTTCCTTCATTCTCATTTCCTTGTGGATGTGCCCCCTTCACACAACACGGTCCATGGCATTTTGTTCCCTTAAGTCCACCTCAAAGCCTCTGCGTGGTCTCAAGGCATGGTGTCCGCCTCGAGTGCTAGAGGTATCAGGTTCAAGCCCCGGTGAGAGCTGGGATTTTTTCACGTGGACTTGAACTTCTAGTAATGCTCCCTGGTCTCTGGGTAGTAAGACCGGACGCCTGTATGTTTTGTTGCGCACATTAAATATCTCTTGGCAGTTGAAAATCTAAAAGAATAGCATAACAACACTGGCCGCTCAAAATTTGAAATTAAAAATCTACCTAATGTATTTCAGGATCCTCACCAGTTATCCTCTTGAACGAAGTTTTTTTCGCCAGGGACACAGATGAGTATCATTTATTTTGTACATTAGAGTCCTATGTAGTCTCTTCATAGTTAGAGCATATTTGTGTATGTGTACTGTGTTGTTCTTTATGTGCTGATGAAGGCTAATCGCCGCAACGTCCTTTGTTCGTTTATTGTGATCGATTTTGTAAAGCTAACGTAAACTGTTTGTTTTTTTCTTACCAACTTTTTCTCTTCCCTAAAACTTTCTACCGCTTTAAAAACTGAGTTAGAAGAAGAACGGAGCACTTATGGATTATATCCGTGTGCCATGATATTGATCCGTTGAATAAACATACCATTCATGTCCCGCTTGCACACATCTCTATATCGTAGTAGAGGTTGGCCTCTACATCTTCTACCCATCTTGAATTTACCATAGAGGATGTTCTTAGGGACTCTACCATCCTCACTTCTCCAGGTGCGACCCAGCCACCTGAGCCTTCGTAGACTGTACACTGAGAAAACTTGTAATACCTGCTCTTCCCAATACCTCAGCATTATCTAATATCTCCATTTACAAAAACAAATCTAAAATATACCACCTGTGCAATAGCCAAAGCCGGGTCTCATGATTGCTTTGACCCGCCCTGGCGCAGGCTGTTTATCTAAGTCATCATCATCTCCGGGATCTTGCTTGTAAAACGGCCGAGCATCCTTCAGTTTCTTCTGTGCGCTAGAGTCACTTGTTCTAGTGTTGCAGAGGAACAGAAGAATTTTACATTTCATCTGGTCATATGAAAAAAGTTTAAGTGTATTTAAATAAATAAATAAATAAAATTTATGTAACCTATGGTGTTATTTCAATGGTCTGAAATGACTTCTGTCCGTATTCCATAGTTGTGGATTTCAAGCTGTACAATAGACATGGCCAATAAGACACCTTTTTTTTTGGGAGGGGGGGGGGGGGTGCCTAGTTAACCATGTTCTTAGTGCACTTGTATCCATGGTGAGGCGCCCACACGCCGTCTGGGGGTGACAGGTTCAATTCCCGGCACGGTAACTATAGCTTTCAATTTTTATGTTGTCTAGTGTGTTCTTCTATCTTTCTACTTCTTTCTATGAGTACCGATTAATATACTTTCTGTTACTTGATCAATTCATAAGTGTATTTAAGGCCAGTGGGCCAACTTAGTTCCAATATTGGTCCCGGGGCCCTAGTTTTGGGGAAAAGAACAAACGAACAAACTATATTTTCAAAGGGTTAAGAACTTGTCACCCAGCTGCCCTTTCCAGTTTCATCCTTGGAAAGATATAAAACCGAACGAAAAGTAGATAAGTGAGCTTCACAAAATAACAAACACAAACAAAAAGTGAACACTGCGGCCAAACAGCCTTCATCAGCACATAGATAAATCAAACAAAATCCACACGAATTCTGACATTTCCCGAAGCAGCCACGTTGATGTCTTGCCAGTGGAATGAGGAGACATGTTTGGCACAAGACTAAACAGCCCAGGTTTCATCCCTGCATGCAGTTAATCATTCATTCATCTTTTCATCGATTAACAAGAAAAGAGGGGGGGGGGGGGTAAAATGAACGAGCAAGTCACTAAAGGGAACTAACTAGGTGTTTGCCGAAATGGGATGCATTGGGCCACAAGGCCCATAATTCCACAACCCGACCATCCTTTTAAGGGCAAATGCAAATGTATTTAGGCATCAATTCACAGGCTGTCACACCAATTATTACGTCGTCAGCAAGCATTCATTCATAAATAGTTCTTATAGTGTTTGCTTTTTTCAGTTCCCACAACTAGTGCTTTTGCATAGAGTCACAGAGCATCCAATAAAATCTTAGTCACGTTAACACAGAATATTTAATGAAATCTCAGTCATGCTGAAACAGACTATCCAATGAAATCTTAGTCATGCTGAAATAGACTATCCAATGAAATTTCAGTCACGCTGAAATAGACTATCCAATGAAACCTTAGTCATGCTGAAATACTATCGAATGAAATCTCAGTCACACCAACACACAGCATCTAATGAAATCAGTCACACCAACACATAGTATGCAATGAAGTCTCAGTCACACCGACATAGAGCTTCCAATGAAGTCTCAGTCATACCGATACAGAGCTTCTAATCAAATCAGTCACACCAACATAGTACTTCCAATGAAATTTCAGTCACACCAACATAGTACTTCCAATCAAATCGGTCACACCAACACAGAGCTTCCAATCAAATCTTTCACATCAACATAGAGCATCCAATCACATCTCAGTCACATCAACACGGAGCATCCAATCAAATTTCAGTCACATCAACACGGAGCATCCAATCAAATCTCAGTCACATCAACACACAGCATCTAATCAAATCTCAGTCCCATCAACACAGAGCATCAAATCAAATCTCATTCACACTGACACACAGCATCTAATAAAATCTCAGTCACATCAACACACAGGATCAAATTAAATCTCATTCACACTGACACACAGCATCTAATCAAATCTCAGTCACATCAACACACAGCATCTAATCAAATCTCATTCACACTGACACACAGCATCTAATCAAATCTCAGTCACATCAACACACAGCATCTAATCAAATCTCAGTCACATCAACACAGAGCATCTAATCAAATCTCAGTCACATCAACACACAGCATCTAATCAAATCTCATTCACACTGACACACAGCATCTAATAAAATCTCATTCACACTGACACACAGCATCTAATCAAATCTCATTCACACTGACACACAGCATCTAATCAAATCTCATTCACACTGACACACAGCATCTAATCAAATCTCATTCACACTGACACACAGCATCTAATCAAATCTCATTCACACTGACACACAGCATCTTATCAAATCTCATTCATACTGACACACAGCATCTAATCAAATCTCAGTCACATCAACACACAGCATCTAATAAAATCTCATTCACACTGACACACAGCATCTAATCAAATCTCATTCACACTGACACACAGCATCTAATCAAATCTCAGTCACATCAACACACAGCATCTAATCAAATCTCAGTCACATCAACACACAGCATCTAAACAAATCTCATTCACACTGACACACAGCATCTAATAAAATCTCAGTCACATCAACACACAGCATCTAATCAAATCTCAGTCACGTCAACACACAGCATCTAATAAAATCTCAGTCACGTCAACACACAGCATCAAATCAAATCTCATTCACACAGACACACAGCATCTAAACAAATCTCATTCACACTGACACACAGCATCTAATCAAATCTCATTCACACTGACACACAGCATCTTATCAAATCTCATTCACACTGACACACAGCATCTAATCAAATCTCAGTCACATCAACACACAGCATCTAATAAAATCTCATTCACACTGACACACAGCATCTAATCAAATCTCATTCACACTGACACACAGCATCTAATCAAATCTCAGTCACATCAACACACAGCATCTAATCAAATCTCAGTCACATCAACACACAGCATCTAAACAAATCTCATTCACACTGACACACAGCATCTAATAAAATCTCAGTCACATCAACACACAGCATCTAATCAAATCTCAGTCACGTCAACACACAGCATCTAATCAAATCTCATTCACACTGACACACAGCATCTAATCAAATCTCATTCACACTGACACACAGCATCTAATCAAATCTCATTCACACTGACACACAGCATCTAATCAAATCTCATTCACTCTGACACACAGCATCTAATCAAATCTCATTCACTCTGACACACAGCATATAATCAAATCTCATTCACACTGACACACAGCATCTAATCAAATCGGCCACACAGCATCCAATCAAATCTTGGTCAAACCAACATAGAATTTAGTTAAAACTCAATTACACTGACACATAGCATCCAATCAAAAATAAATGTTAAAAAAATCCCTCCCCTCTCCCATAAATATAAATGATGAGCTTATGAATTAACTCATTTAATGCAAGCAACTCACCATCAGCTGGTTTCATGACATGATATACATTTCTTAACCCCTCCTGTCCGATCTATTTATTATCCTAACCCAGTCTGCCCTATTTCTTACTTTAACTCCGCATGTCTCCAAGTGCCACTATCTTACTTACTTACTTAGTCGCTCCTCTTCTACCTTGGGGTGTAGAGGTTTGCCAGAGAGATCGCCAGACGTCTCTATCAGCAGTTTTCTTTCTGGCTTTGTTGTGCCACTATCTTAACACATCAAATCCAAGAAAATCAATTACCTAAAGCAGAGCTTTCCAAACTTTCTATGTTGGTGACACACTTGTGAGAAACATAATTTTGCAACATATTAATTCAGTCTACTTAATCAACCACTCAATCAATCACTCAATCAATCACTTAATCAACCACTCAATCAATCACTCAATCAACCACTCAATCAACCACTCAATCAACCACTCAATCAACCACTCAATCAACCACTCAATCAATCACTCAATCAATCACTCAATCAACCACTCAATCAACCACTCAATCAATCACTCAATCAACCACTCAATCAATCAGCATGTCCTTTACAGAACATCGCTCTTTTCACAACCAGCCTGAAAATCTCTCGTTCTCTAGCCAATTTTCCAGTCAATTCTCTAGTCAACTCTTCAGGCAATTCTCTAGTCAACTCTCTAGTCAACGTAACTTGAGATTCCTGTATCCACATTCACAGAGGTCGGCCTCTGCCTCATTTTCCAGAAACTGCGCTCTCCACCACTGTTTTTTTTCCCCCCGACCATAATGACGCTTGACATGGCCAAAATGCAACAGCTTTCAGGACAGGATGCTGTTTATGAGCAAATTCTCCTTGATTGATTTTTATTTCAGTTCAAAAGCTCCAGTTTATTTTTAAGCAAATCAAATATGAAAACCTTACATTGTTCTCTTTAACGCGACACATCGTCACACTGCAGCTGACACACTTATGTATTGCAACACAACTTGGAAAGCTCTGGCTTGAAGGAACAGCTTTTAAAACAGAATGAGGTAAAAAGCAACAACTGTTTGGTACTGAAAGAGCCCACATTCCACGACAGGTGGAACTCTTACCTTTGATAAAAATATATGCAGAAGGCAATGATCAGCAGTAGGAGGCACAAGAGAAACAGAATGATGAAAAGTATGGTCTCCGGTGATACGGTCTGTTCTTCTTCTGGATTTTCTATAATAAAATGAAGGGTGAAAAACTATATTGTGGCATCCGTACTATGGATGCTGGCTATAAGCAAAAAAATGTGCATCCAAACCTGTAATTACAACTATAAGAAAAGAGAGTCTCCGTGGATTAGTGGCTAGATGCTCACCTGTAGATCCGAAGGTCATGGGTTCAAATCTGAATGGAGCCAGACTGTTTTCTTTAAAAAAAAAATGACACTGACTCCCAGTCGATCCAGCCTTAAAATGGGCACCAGATAAATTCCTGGAAAGTAAAGGCGGCTGTATGATGTTGATCACATTACCCACCCAGTGCTGACTGGTCTAAATACAGATCTAGCTCTAAATGACCGATATGCCTAAAGGCGTGGAAGACGGTCCTTTATCATAACAAAACATGACCCGTCATGACATTAGGGTCATAGAGGTGTACTGATGGAAGCACTAGTACATAAAACCCGCCATATTTCTCTGTCTTCTGATTGATAAATAAGTGTATGATATCTTAGTCCTGTCCATTTCTTGATGTTGTCATTCCAGGTTCTTCTTTGCCCTCCTCTTCTTCGACTACCCGCCAATGTTCCTTGAAGTAAGAATAAGAGCTGCCCTTTATAAGAGACTTCCGTTTTCAAAATGGAATGAATAAGTTTTGGATGAGACATTTCTTTGTGCTGATTGTGATTGCCTTTTGGATAATGAAGGTAGCCAGAGTGATGCTGACCATTTCACGTTCACCGGTTTTAAACTCCTGTTTTAAAGTTCTGGTTGTTCGTCGACTTCTGGACTGCAGTCCTGTTTCAGAACCTGAATGTTGCGTGTGCATCCTTTTGACACATCTGACTCATTTGTGTACAGACTGTTGGTTCCTTGCCTTTCATGAAGATGCACTCCGACTTCAAAGGAAGCTCCCAATCAGTCGACTCTTACAACATGCTTTTGGGTTGGCAGTGGGTCTACTCTTGTTTTACCTATAATAGGGCCCTGGAACCCACATGGGGAACTACATTGTAAATATTTAGAAAAAAAAATTTTTTTAACATACGTCCCACCTCATATGCCCTATGCGCCACTAGCCTGTAAAAGGACTTTTTATTTTTATTTTATTTATACTTATTTCCATGGTTACTGTTTTTATTTGTTCCCTTTATATTTATTCTTCATTGGTTTATCTCTATAGTCTGTGAGGGGAGCCGGCCTGGTCTAGCAACAACATATCCAATACGCCTGAAAGGCTTGGAAAATGGTCCTTTACTTATTTATAGTCTGTAAAGTAGACGGCGTGTGACATGCGTGACCCATTAAAAAAAAAGATTTGCCACCTCTGAGTTACAGGACCCCCAAATGTTTTCTTTGTGACTGCACCCCTTATATTAACTCTTTTTAGTCCCAGGGGTTTAGCATCAGAGCCCCAAGGATGGTAAAGAGACAGAAACACACAATCAGCACATTGTGCATTCGCTGAGCTTCTATGCAGGAACATATGAATGTGTGATGTGTTCCCTGGGACTAAAACAGTTGGGAAATCACGTTCCTTGGGACTAAAACAGTTAGGGAATCACGTTCCTTGGGACTAAAACAGTTATGGAATCACATTCCTTGGGACTAAAATAGTTAAGGAATCACGTTCCTTGGGACTAAAACAGTTAGGGAATCACATTCCTTGGGACTAAATCAGTTAGGGAAGCACGTTCCTTGGGACTAAAACAGTTAGGGAATCATGTTCCTTGGGACTAAAATAGATAGGGAATCACGTTCCCTGGGACTAAAACAGTCAGGGAATCACATTCCTTTGGACTAAAACAGTTAGGGAATCACGTTCCTTGGGACTAAAATAGTTAGGGAATCACGTTCCTTAGGACTAAATCATTTAGAAAATCACGGTCCTTGGGACTAAAATAGTTACGGAATCACGTTTCTTGGGACTAAAATAGATAGGGAATCATGTTTCTTGGGACTAAAATAGTTAAGGGAATCACGTTCCTTGGGACTAAAATAGTTTTAGGCAATCAGACAGTCCTGGCTACAACTTGCCTGGTCCATGATGTGTGATTACATACGGCCCTCCTTCACTTCCAGTCTCCACAACTGTGACCTTTGACAGAGGACCTAAAAAGAAGCACACAATGAATATAGGCTCCGGCCAGTGCTGCTTTTAGATATTAGCTAAATAGGTTCCAGTTCAGGGCTTCATAATATGCAGGGGCCTAAGAAAATCATATTTTTCACAAATGCACTTTTTTTTAAATCCAGATATATATATATATATATATATATATATATATATATATATATATATATATATATATATATATATATATATATATATATATATATATATATACATATATATATACATTTATATATATATATATATATATATATATACCATCATGATCCCTCCCTCCACCTGCCTTGTTTACTCCAAAGGAAAGGTAACACCAGTATGTCTGGAACAAAATAGGCTGCAGAAGCTGCTGGACTAGAACAGCAGTGCTCTATCTGTCCGCCTGTCAGAGCTTCCCTCCTAGACCAGCTGCCAGCTGGAGTTTTTTTTTTTTAAATCCAGAAACCATGAGTTGTAAACCCTTTGGCTTGATACTATGGATATCGCAATCGTTGTTAGTTACTCTGGCTGTCCAAAGTACTTGTAACATTAGGAAAGTGCCAAGTTATTAAGAATAGTATCAAGTTATAAAGGAAAGTATCAAGTTATAAAGGAAAGTATCAAGTTATAAGGGAAAGTATCAAGTTATTAAGAAAATTATCAAGTCATTAAGGAAAGTATCAAGTTTTAAAGGAAAGTATCAAGTTATAAAGAAAAATATCAAGTTATAAAGAAATGTGTAGAGTTATAAAGGAAAATATAGTTAAAAAAGACAGTTTCTTATTATAAATAAAGTACTAAGTTATAAAGGAATGAATAAAATTATAAATAAAAGTATCAAGTAATAAAGGGAAGTATCAAGTAATAAAGGAAAGTATCAAGTTATAAAGGGTAGTATCAAGTTATAAAAGAAATTATCAAGTTATAAAGGAAAGTATCAAGTTAAAAAGGGAAGTATCAAGTTATAAAGGGAAGTATCAAGTTATAAAGGGAAGTATCAAGCTATAAAGGGAAGTATCAAGTTATAAAGGGAAGTATCAAGTTATAAAGGGAAGTATCGAGTTATAAAGGGAAGTATCAAGTTATAAAGGGAAGTATCAAGTTATAAAGGGAAGTATCAAGTTATAAAGGGAAGTATCAAATTATAAAGGGAAGTATCAAGCTATAAAGGGAAGTATCGAGTTATAAAGGAAAGTATCAAGTTATAAAGGGAAGTATCAAGTTATAAAGGAAAGTATCAAGTTATAAAGGGAAGTATCAAGTTATAAAGGGAAGTATCAAGCTATAAAGGGAAGTATCAAGCTATAAAGGGAAGAATCAAGTTATAAAGGGAAGTATTAAGTTATAAAGGGAAGTATCAAGCTATAAAGGAAAGTATCAAGTTATAATGGGAAGTATCAAGTTATAGATGGAAGAAAAAAATAATGCATAAAAGTTGAGATCTTCCCGTGTGGAGTACACATCCCCATCTGAGGGGTGGGTGGGGTAGGGGAGACCCACTGTCCCCCCCCCCCCCTCAAAGGGTCGAGGAACCAACTGTTTGCACACACATAAGCTAGATCCGTCAAACCGATGTGCGCGTGCGAGCGCACGCACGCACGGAGTTTACAGCCTGTAAATGCTTAAGAAGAAAAATACTTGTGATAGTGAGTGACCTCTCATGTCAGTTTAAAAAACTGATAATAATAACATTACCTTTAGCCGCTCCCCCACTTCCTGCAGCAACTGCTCCTGCACCAACGGCTCCTGCAGCCACTGCCGCGGCCCCACCTGCAGCAACAGCTCCGAACCCAGCAGCCCCACCGGCCCGGAAACTATGTGGCTGATACTGGCTGGCTCCGAACTCTGGCACAGCCACGACCTGACCACCAGGCTGTTGCTCATAAGCAGGCTGGGCCACTGGATAGACGCCGGACCCCACAGCAATTCCAGGACTCAAGATATAGGCCACAGAGGGCGCTGCCAGGACTGGAGCAACGTTGGGTGCTGGCACTTTGGGTGCTGCAGTCACTGGCTTCTGTAGTAAGTAACAACAGACACTTCTTAGTAGTTATTTTATCAGGTTAAGTAGAGACAGTTTTTAGCTGGTAGTTTTGTGAGGTAAGAAGAGAAAATTCTTAGGAGAGCAAATTCTTAGCTTTCTGTGGTAAGTAAAGACAGACAATTCTTGATGTTTATTTATCAGGTAAGTAAAGACAGTTTTTTTTAGCTGGGGGTGTTTTGTGTGGTAAGTAAAGACAGACAATTGTTAACTGGTGATGATATGTGAAGCAAGTACATACATAAAATTATTAGCTGGTGGTGCATTCTGTGCTAAGTAATGACAGACAATTGTAGTTGGTCATGCGTTCTCTGGTAAGTAACAACCGACAATTGTTAGCTTGTGGTTTCTGAGGAAATACAAGATAATTCGTTGATGGTTATTTGTCAGGTAAGGAAAGACAGACAGCTTATAGCTGGTGGTGATTTTTGTGGAAAAAAAAAGCAAATCCTTAGCTTAGAAGTGCTTTCTGTTGTAAGTAAAGACAGACAATTCTTAGCTGGTGATGCTTTCTGTGGTAAGAAAAGACAGACAATTCTTGGTCGTTATTTGTCCGTCAAGAGACAGTTCTTGCTGCTGGTGATTTGTGTGGTAAGAAAAAGAGAGCAAATTCTTAGTTAGTGGTGTTTTGTGCAGTAAGAAAACACAGACAATTATTAGAGGTTATCTATCAGGTAAGTAAAGACAGATGATTGTTAAGTGGTGGTGTTATCTGAAGCAAGTAAAGACAGACAATTGTTAACTGGTGGTGTTATCTATCAGGTAAGTAAAGACAGACAATTGTTAACTGGTGGTGTTATCTATCAGGTAAGTAAAGACAGACAATTGTTAAGTGGTAGTGTTATCTAAAGTAAGTAAAGACAGACAATTGTTAACTGGTGGTGTTATCTGAAGTAAGTAAAGACAGACACTTGTTAAGTGGTGGTGTTATCTAAAGTAAGTAAAGACAGACAATTGTTAACTGGTGGTGTTTTCTATCAGGTATGTAAAGACAGACAACTGTTAACTAGTGGTGTTATCTGAAATAAGTAAAGACAGACAATTTTTAGCTGGTAGTGCCCTGGGTGGCAACTGGTGGTTATTGGTGTGGATAGAAACCTGGGTCTCCTGTCCGAATACACGCCACATCTAATCTACATATGGGCACTCTCCAATTTAAAAACTTACTGGCTTGCACTTAGGGGACGTGCACTTTTCCAGCATGGTTGATGGCCCCCTGCATTTCATATCCCTGTCGCCTGTAACACAGACTCGGCTGCGGGCTCTGACTCCCTTGCCACAGGTGACTGAGCATGGACCCCATTCTCCCCAATCATGAAAGTGCGCTGAAAAAAATTTATTGTGTTTATGGTACATGTAACAAACTCAGGCCCAGCTCCACCCATCTACACACTTATAACACTGTGACTGCTCCCGCTCCCGTGCCAAAGAACAACACACAGAATGTCGTCTGCAATGTCCCTCGCTGAAAATTGACAAGGGACTGCAGTCTCAGCATATCCACTAGAATACACATACACTAAAAGCGTGTATGCTGCCACGAGAATTGCTAACACAATCAGTCCGACATTAGAAATTCAGTTCATTATCAACAAAAGCAGCAGTTATAAACAGATCAGTTGTTGCACATATGATTAATCACACAAGGCACCATCAAAGGAAAGGCCACTCTCCTTTATCAGGATATACAGTTCCCCACACCACATTGGTCACAGTTGAAAAACATTTCAAATGACATGCGCAGCTCATAGTGTCGTGGCATGCACTCCACTCAGTAGCTGGGTTACAAAACTATCTTTTTTTCAGTCTACAAATAAATTTGCCACAACTAAAAGCAGTGAACTCTGATTATGGAGCAGCTGGCATTTTTTTCTCAAGCTTCTCCAATAGATAATTTTTTTAATGAGTAAAGCCACATATTTTTTAATACTTTTTTGGTGTGCACTAGCAATTTTTTCAAACAAAAAAGCCCTGATAAAGCTTATGCAATCTATAAATCAAATTTTTTTTTCTCTTTCAGCAATTCAATCCCTTGAGGTTCACTGCTTCATATATCACACACCCCTCTTCTTCTCTGTGATCTGCTCCCTTCAAGTCCAGCCTTAGATATCTGTTTCATGATGAAATGAGGTTATACAAAGATGAGGATGTCAGCCCTGCACTTTAGTCTTGACATTATCACATATATACAGATATAGCGGTAATAGAGCCAGAGGTCGACCGCGCAGAACATGGACAGCAAAAATATCAGAGATACTGAAAAGTACTTTGAACGAAGCAAACAGAAGGACCTGCTCTACAGATATCTTCTTGCCCTGACTCTGCGAGGCATTCCAGGAGTAGAGGAAAGAAACAAAAAGGAAAGATTAATAAGATTACATCAAGAGACAACAGATCAAATGGTTTAGACATGTGTTAAAACTGCCACCCGACTGTTGCACCAAAGAGAGTCCTGTCAGACATAATGGAAGCAGACCTAGAGGTCGACCACACAAGCGATGGATAGACGGAGTATCAGAGACCATGAATACCAGCATCTAAGTAACACAAACCAAGACTCCGACCCGATGTCTGTTCAAAACCTGCCGCTGAAAATTAAAAGGAGTAAAGAAGAAGAAAAACACAGAAGAAGAAAACTGACTAGATACTAAACAATGTAATTTGTGTATTTCAGTGGAAAGATTTTGTTCTTGTGCTTCATTATAAGTTGATGTAACTTTGTAGTAACGCACCTGGGGAGATACAGCAAAATATTAAAGGCAGTAAAATTGCGCAAGGTATTGTTCGTGTTCTTGAATTTGAAGAAAAAAAATGTCCAGACAAAACCGGATGTCACCCCAAAAATAATAATAAATGATGAGGAAATTTAAAATGTCATAAATTGTGAATATCTAGACTACATAATAAATAGCAATGGAGACGTTCGACAGAAGTCAAAAGGAGTATGGCCATAGAAGTACAAAAATTAAACAACATTGTCTATGGTTAAGCACCAGCAAGGAAATCAAAGTTCAAATTTTGAGATCATGCATCTTCCCTGTAGCAACATAGGGATATAAGTCGTGGACTATCTCCCATTCTTTAGGGGAAAAAATAGTTTCTTTTGAGCTGACATGCTATGAAAAGATTATCAGAATATCTTGGACAAAGAAGATGAGAAATACTGACAATTTAAAAGATCTGAACATCAAGGTAGACTGGCTAATAAATAGCATCTTGTCTCTGAAGCTGAAATATATAATATCAAGCACTGTGGAGGACTGGAAACAAATAATAGCAGAAAGCATGGTACCAAAAGGAGGGGCAGGGGCCGACCAACATGAAGATGGGCGCAGGTTAAAAGTGTTTTCTTGAATACGAAAGTACACGAGGAGAGAGAGCTGGTGAGAGACAGTTTCTTTCAGGCAGACTGTGTTGACAGCAACATTCTGCAAAGAACCTGCTACATGATGATGCTGATGATGATGACTGTTTGTGTTCCACATTATTCATATTTGTTTTACACAGATGCAATGTACCTCTTGAAAATATCAGATAAAGTGATACCTTCACATTTGATCCCAGTGCTACAAGGCTGCATATCAAATCCAGCACCCGGGCAGTCAAGATGAGGAAGGGTAAAACACTCCCGTCTGCGGACGCTGAATCCACCATCCCCACAATCCACCGAGCACTTGCTCCACGGACTCCACTCTGCCCACTTAGGCTACACGAAGTTAAAAAAATAAGCTAGTAAAATAACGTACATTTTTACAAGCCATTAGACGTATCTGGCATATAGTGCTAAACCTACATTTGACAGACCAATGGGCACTCGGTGAAGGATGTGTCAGCCGTCTTTACTTCCCCGAATGTCCTTATTTCCTTGTTATGTGAAAAAAATAAAGATCGTCACGTTCAACCAGCAGCGCCCAAGGAGCAGCATTTGGTTATAATTGTGACCAGGTTATTTGTGTCATACAAAAGCTTAGCTTTTCTCGCTACCAAGTAGCCCTAAAAAGGACACTTGCGGTGTTGATGTGATCAAGGAAGACAGACTCACATACTGTCCAGACCGACGATGAAGTCATCTACTGGCCAAACAATGGGCAACCCAGTTGTTGATGATTTCCCAAAACTTTACCTGGTATCCATCTAAGTTTGGGGTCAAGATGGGGGTGAAGTCACTTTAAAAAAAAAATCAAGCTTGTTACGGATTTGAAGCCATGATCTTTGGTCCTGAGGTGAGTATCTAGCAGCTGTACCATGGCTGTAAAGCTATACAGGAACAGGATTTCTTTCATCACAACACATTTCAGTGGTCAGCCATGGTTGCTAGGTCATTGGCTGTCGTTCCAAAGGTAAAGTGTTCAAATCTGCATCACGTCAGTTTTTTTTTTTTTTTTTTTAATGACACTGGCTCTCAGACCAACGCAGCCACAAACGGACACCAGGTTATGTCCCTGGAAGTACAGGCGGCTGGGGTGATGTTGAGAAAATCACCTAATGAACGTTGCATTGTGTATTAAAAAAACTACGAGTCTAGCATCATATATGCCATAAGGGTCTTTTCCTTGATTTAACTGACTCACAGAGCATGCTGAGATAGGTGAAAACAGGCATGCTTCGTGCAGAGTGGTAAGCATCACTTCAGAGGTCCCAGGTAGTTAGCATCTTTTGGATAATTTCTCCAGGTTATGCCAGGGTGTTGGGAAATGAGCAGACAGATAGATTGGCTGGCGCTGCACCACTTGGTGGTAAATTGATGTATGACAAATTAGATATTGTGAGGCCCTTTGGGAGCGAGTAAACAGTGCGGAGACGCAGATGGATAATTAGTCTAAGGAGAATGGCGCTGTGAGAAGTTATCAGGGGATCTGGCTGACGCTCAACACTCAGGGAAAGAATGAGACGGATTTACAATCAGACGGTTACTGGTACCATCGGAATCGGAACTCTTCGCTTGCTGTGATGTCGATTCCTAACTCATTCAACATTCAACTTGATTTACTTACACATTTCTGTATAGGCTTTTTATTGTCAATGCCAAGTCATGTTTCTCTGAAAAGAATTTCAGTTGTCAATGTGTAATCTGGTAATCCTAGTTTCAGCTCCATAGTAAACGGGTCACCCCATAGTTGCTCCGCTCATGTGCCAACGAAAAACACACATAGCTCACAGTGTCACGCCATGCACTCAACTCAGAAGCTGGGCATGACTGTGTGGGCGTACCAGCATGTATTATGTAGATAAAGAAGTTATCAAGCTCAGATGGGTAGGACAAATCTCTGCCACACAAGTTGTCTTAGTATCAGATTTACAAAGCTCAAGAGGGTGGAGTGAGGAATTTTCCAGAGGTCGCAGGTGGTGCGACTCTCGCATGAAAATTTGTGCCCGGTCTATTCAGGTGTGTTTGGGAATGAGTAGGCAGACAGACTGGCTGGACTGGCCCCACATGGAGGTGTACTGCAACCACACAAGGGCAGAGGTGATCTCTAACCTGTGGAACAAGGTAACAGAGGAAATGGAAGGTACTAAAAACCAGTACCTGGAGAGACTGATATGGCGAGTAGTGGCTGTGGGCTCCGAGTGCCACTCGAGACTTAGAGGAAAGGCAAGACAAGAAGTTAACCAGACGAAAACAGGTACCATCTGTGTGACAACTCTTCGCTGTCTGTTGAGGAGGGAGAGGGAGCTTATATGGGCTTGTCCTGAATGCTGGGATGTTGAATCTTTTCCCAGATGTTATTGTTTATATAATTATAGTTGTCTATGTTTTCTTGTTTTTCTCTATAGAATTACAGCTGTCTATGTTTTCTTGTTGTTCTGTAAAGAATTAGAGAACGATTTCTTGTTAGGCTGTACAGAACTGTCTAAGTTTTCTTGTTATGCTGCACAGAATTACAGTTGTCTAAGTTTTCTTGTTATGCTGCTCAGAAATACAGTTGTCAAAGTTTTTTGTTTTTTGTTTTTTTTGTTATTCTGCACACATTAACCGTGACCTTCGAAAGTCCAGGCTGGAAAACTCTAGTGGTGACGTCACTTCCTGAGGCAAACTCAGAACTGATGTTTCAGTGTATGTTCGGTTTTATTTTTCTTGTCAAAGTTTTTAATGTGGTTTCATTTTCACGTCTGAAAATAGGAGACTATATAGACTATTATAGGTGACTATAAACGGTATTTCAGAGAGTAGATTTAGTAAGCAATTTCTGCAATTTGTGTTGGATTTATCGTCAGTGTGTTGGTTTTCGAGGAACTATGCCTGCTAAATGTTCTGTACCTAAGTGTCGTTCAAATTATGACCTTTCTAGTGGATATGTAAGTTGTTTCAGATTCATTTTGAGAGACAAATGGCTGAAATATATTCCACGGAAAAATTGGACTCCTGGGAAAACCAGTGTAGTATGTGTGAAACATTTTCGTACGTCAGATATTATTGTGTCTGATAAATATATAGACAAATCAAGAATCAAGCATATACTCCCAAGAAAGAATCCCGCTTAAAAAAAGTTGCTTATCCAACTATTTTTCCAGATCTTTCATCCTATTTATTGGTGAAAGTACCAGCCTCTCGCGGAACTCCAGAGGAACGTGTATCACATATTAATCGTAATTATGATAAAAAAGTAAATGATTGGCTGTCCTCAGATATCATTACAGATTTCCAAGATCTGGAGTCACAGATGGAAACAAACTGAAAGGAAAGTTTGAAAAAAAATTGGAAATACACTTCTGTAGATGGAGCTTTAGCATATATTGTTTTGTATGTCATTACCATACAGTCAGACTCTGCACCATCCATAGGTGTCAGCATAAAGGCGTTACTTGATAGGACTATACAAGTCTTTGTTCAAAATAAAAAAGTTAAAGACAAAGACCTTAAATGGATTGTAGACAACAATAAACTTGTGAGATGGTCACAGCTTGAAAATCTTGTAATTCATTACAATGCCTGGGATTATAGTAAAATTCAAAGCCAAAATAGCTTCACAGATTTAGTGGGAGAAGCAGGAAGTATTTTGAAGAGTGCTGCAGAGCAACAGTGGACTCCTAATGGGACAGCTGATGAAGTAACTGACACACAAGTAAACTTTCTCACAGAGCAGCTGCAACTTTTAACCGTGTTCAAAAACAGAAGACGTTACAGTTGTAGCACATTATGTTTCGCTTTCATGCTGTTCATTAAATCTCCAGCATGCTACCGGTTTATAAGAAAATCTTGTATGTTGTGCCTGCCCCATCAAAGAACACTGCCCAATTTAACTTCACAGTTGTCATTGTCTACTCATACTGGCAGCATCTCACAGTAGTTGAAATTGAAACAAGACAAACTGACAGAGCTAGAAAAGATTGTAGTGGTTCAGATGGATGAAATATATGTTAAATTTGCAATTACTTACTCTGGGGGCAAAATATTTGGCAATGCAGACAATGCAAAAGAAGCAGCAACAACAGTGCAGGCTTTCCTCATATCTTCAGTTTTTTGGAAGCTACCAGGAAATTATAGAACTTTCACCTGTGAACAGAATGACACCCCGGGATCTACGTTTGAAATTACTCCACTATATCCAATTTGTACAGGAGTGTGGTTTCACAGTAGTTGCTGTAATTGCAGATAATAGTGCTGTCAATCGCAGAGTTTACAGTGATCTTCTGAAACCAAGCCAAACTTTTATTGAGAACCCAGATTTTGCTAATAAAAAAAATATTTTTACTGCATGATTCTGTGCACTTGCTAAAATGCATGTGGAGGAATTGGATCAACCAGAAGGACACAAACCAGACATTTACTTATCCTTTAATAACTGGACAAATGCTAAACGCCTGTGATACTGATAGAGCTGCAGAAGCTAACTTTTCTCATTTAAAGAAACTGTATTATGGTGAGCAAAAGAATATTGCAAAACTGGCACCTAAACTTTCCCACAAAGCCATCTATCCCTCCAGCATGGACAGACAGAATGTTCCTCTTGCTTTGGCAATTTTTAATGAATACAATGTTGCTGCTCTGCGTCTAGTAGGCAGTAATGAAATAGCAGATTTTATTGAAGACATCCTTAGATGGTGGCATATTGTTAATGTGAAAAGTAAATTTGTAGGTAAAAAGACACTGAACTCATTCTCAAATCCTGTATTGTCAAATGATGATGAACAAGTGAATTATCTTGAACAGTTTGCTGAATGGCTAAGAAAGTGGGACAAGCTGACTGGCTGTCAAGGAAAACTGACCAAGGAAACACACAGTGCACTGCTGCATACAGTGACCGCAGTGCTTTCTCTAATCAAATATCTATTTGCAACTACAGAAGCCAGTTTTATACTTCTTGGAAAGCTGCAGACTGACAACTTAGAAGCTCGGTTTGGTGAATATCGGCAGTTGTCAGGAGCAAACTACCTAGTATCTGTGCAGCAAGTTTTAGAAGCAGAAAAGAAACTTAAAGTTTACTCACTGCTAAGTATGTCCTCATCAACTTATGGAGATTTTCCTATCCGTGACCTCTCAGAGTTTCTTAGCAGCAAAGAAGAGGAAAATGGGGATGACATAATGACTGATGCTGTTCAGCTGGACGGGAACAAGTTTTTTTTTTTCAGATAAACCCAAATGACTGTGAATTATTGGTTTCGGAAGGTTCAGAGGAGTCACTGGTGTATATTGCTGGATTTGTCTCAAGTAAGCAGAACAAAAAAATTAGGTGTGCTGCCTGCAAGACTTTGTTGCAGATGGACAGGCCTTTATCATATAATGTTGACTCGGGTGCAATGTCCACAGATTATATACAGCTGCTTGACCACGGAGGTTTAAAATACCCTTCAAAATTTATAATATTATTAAGCTTTGTAACATAAGCAGCTATGCAAAAGCTTATATCAGCTGAGTTGGAAACACAATTTCCAGCCTGCAAACATCACAAAAAAATTGCTAATGCATATTGTTTCATGCAGTTTACACACATATTTCAAGGATGAAATAGGTGGTGTCTGTGCTGAGGGTTGTTCTAGAATAAACATTGCTTCCAAAGCGCTGCCATCTCTGGCAAATGATTTTATGAACAACTATAGAAAAATAAAAACCGATGCATCCTTGCTGGATAAATCATCTAAGAAAAGAAAACTGGCCAAATTCACCCAGTAATGGATTTCACGGATTATGTAACTACAATTTGGACAGCTAAATGGTAAGTAGTTTCTGTTGTGCTTTTAGTTTCTATGTCATATCGTGAATATGTCAGTAGTTTCTGTTGTGCTTTCTGTTTCTATGTCATATTGTGAATATGTGAGTAGTTTCTGTTGTGCTTTCTGTTTCTATGTCATATTGTGAATATGTACGTAGTTTCTGTTGTGCTTTGTTTCTATGTCTTATTGTCAATACCTATATCCAGGGCTGTTCAACTAAGTCAATTTAAGTTTACTCAGAAGCCAACATTGTGAAATTAGGGATCGTTATAGGCCAGCAGTCCGAGTCCCAGCGTTATTTCATTGCAACCAGCAGTGATCCGCGGGCCATTTGCTAGGCCTCAGCGGACAAAATTTGGTCCGCGGGCTGACTGTTGAATAGCCATGAGCTTACTGCTATAAATTTTGTGGGCTAGTACTCAGGGAACGGACGGGAACAAAAAAACAAAAAAAAAGATACTGTCTGAGTGAAAAAGTAACATAACGTTAGCCAGCGGCGGTGACGTCACGACCCGCTGATGACGTCAGTAGCTAGGCCTGTACTACCAAAGGTCACGCATTAACAGTTGTCCAAGTTTTCTTGTTCTGCACAGAATTACAGTTGTGTAAGTTTTCTTGTTATTCTGCACAGAATTACAGTTGTGTAAGTTTTCTTGTTATTCTGTATAGAATCACCGTTGTTTGTATTTATTGTTATTCTGTATACAATTAGTGTTGTCTGCGTTTTCTTGGGAGTCGTGGTGGTGTGGGCAGTTAGACACCCGCCTGCGGATCAGAAGCTCGTGGGTTTTAAATGACCGTGACTCCCAGGTCCACCCAGAGTTAAGTAGGTACCAGGTGCAGTTCTGGTAAGTAAAGGATGCCAGCGTGATGCTTAAGCGCTGATTGGTCTATAAAAAAAGGTCTAGCCATAAATACCCAATGCGCCTAAGGGCGTGGAGCAGGGATTTTTTACTATTACTGTGTTTTCTTGTTTTTCTGTACATAATTAGTTCTCTATAAATATTATTCTGCATAGAATTATGATTATCCATGCCGACATGCATAGAATTACAGCTGTCCATGCTGTCGTGTGTAGCATTATGACTGTCCATGCTGTCATGTATAGCATTATGACTGTCCATACTGTCATGTATAGCATTATGACTGTCCATGCTGTCACATATAGCATTATGACTGTCCATGCTGTCATGTATAGCATTATGACTGTCCAAGCTGTTATGTATAGCATTATGATTGTCCATGCTGTCATTATAGCATTATGACTGTCCATGCTGTCATGTATAGCATTATGACTGTCCATGCTGTCATGTATAGCATTATGACTGTCCATGCTGTCATTATAGCATTATGACTGTCCAAGCTGTCACATATAGCATTATGACTGTCCAAGCTGTCACATATAGCATTATGACTGTCCAAGCTGTCACATATAGCATTATGACTGTCCATGCTGTTACATATAGCATTATGACTGTCCATGCTGTCACATATAGCATTATGACTGTCCATGCTGTCACATATAGCATTATGACTGTCCATGCTGTCATTATAGCATTATGATTGTTAATGCTGTCACATATAGCATTATGACTGTCCATGCTGTCATTATAGCATTATGATTGTCCATGCTGTCATGTATAGCATTATGACTGTCCATGCTATCATGTATAGCATTATGACTGTCCATGCTGTCATGTATAGCATTATGACTGTCCATGCTGTCATGTATAGCATTATGACTGTCCATGCTGTCATGTATAGCATTATGACTGTCCATGCTGTCATGTATAGCACTATGACTGTCCATACTGCCATGAATAAACTTTCAAATGTCCTTTAATTTTATTTTACTTTCACTCTATAAAATGTTTTAGTTATAAGGTTCCGGCTCCATACTTTTTAAAATAGTCAGCACTCAATGAACGATGTGGATAGTAACACCCTACCCACCTTGACCTTCCTAGACATTTCCCCTGTACTCATTTCAGACAAGGAGGGTTAAAGGGCTTTAACTGGAACCCATGACAAACAGGTAAGTTCATTAACAGTGAGCAGTCACAGGCCTCACCTTGGACAAAGCTTTTTTATTTCTTTTACCCTGTCAGTTCTCAGTATCTGCACCATTTTGTTCGGGCATATTTTTTTTCATAGCTACTGTAACAGGCACTGCATAGTGCGTACAGGCACTTTTTTTTTTTAAGACACCGTAATGAGTCCGGCACCTTCTTTTCTATAAAAAGAGTTTTAAAAAGGCCCAGTTTATAGGAGACAGCTTTCTACATATTCAAAAGTGCTCACCTGTCGGTAAATATAGACTTGAAGTCTCCTGCTTTTATATGAAGAGCCTGCAACAGATAAAACATGAGATGATGAATTTGTAACAAACTAACTTGATGATAGGCATGTACCAAACCTGATGATGAATAGGTATCAAATTTGATGATGAGCAGGTAACACACTTGATGATGAGCAGGTAACACACTTGATGATGAGCAGGTAACACACTTGATTATGAGCAGGTAACACACTTGATGATGAGCAGGTAACACACTTGATGATGAGCAGGTAACACACTTGATGATGAGCAGGTAACAAACTTGATGATGAGCAGGTAACACACTTGATGATGAGCAGGTAACACACTTGATGATGAGCAGGTAACACACTTGATGATGAGCAGGTAACTCACTTGATGATGAGCAGGTAACACACTTGATGATGAGCAGGTAACACACTTGATGATGAGCAGGTAACAAAGTTGATGATGAGCATTTAACAAAGTTGATGAGCATGCAACAAAGCTGATGATGAGCATACAAAAAAATTGTTGATGAGCGTGTAACAAAGTTGATGATGAGCATGTAACAAATTTCAAGATGAGTAGCTAACAAACAAAACTCGATGAGCCTGTCATAAATAAAACCACAGATGCTGAACTTGTAACAAACAAACCTGACCAAGAGCAGGTAACAAAGAGAAACAAAACTTCCTGATGTGCATGTAACCAACAAAGACACAAAAGTTACAGTGCTGCTATTGTTTACTTCAGGTCTTCATCCACACAAGACTGTAGGTTACACCTGGATGGTGTAGCTGTTACAGTTGCCTTCAGTATAACTTATTCAGAGGTTGAACAAGGTATACGAGATCGGTCATGTTGGTGTGACATCCAGATTGGGATATTTTTCTTCGAAATCTCAGGATGATAAACTTTTAGGAGGCAGCTTTTAGAAAACAAACTAATCGATACTATAAAGTAAAGGACCCTTTTCCACACCTTCAGTCCTACTGGGCATATAGGGCTAGACCTATATTTTATAGACCAGTCGGTACTCGGTGGGCGATTTGGTCAATATCATCTTGACTGCCTTTACCTCCCATGACTATACCATTTAAGGCTGGGTCGACCTGGGAGCCAAGGTCAAATAATCAATACTATTATGGGCCCCCAGAAGCAAAAGGTCACGAATTCTTCTACTCACATTTAACTGACGGTCACAAGGGATTAGTAATAAATTATAAATCAAACCATCATATTCTTTTTTTGTCAAACTGCTTATGTCGTAAAGCGATGCTGTCCACATCATTTATCAAGTGCTGAATGGTCAATAAAAATACGAGTCTTAAAAAATATGTGTCACCGCTATGGCAAAACGAAGCCCCTAAACATGAAACGCACACTACCTTGATAAGCCAGTTCATACTGATTCTTCATATTTTTCCATTTCTGTATCCAGTAGCTCAACTTTCTCTCTATCTGAGTTTTCTTCAGGAACGTCACAGATGTATCCCCGCCTTCGGATGCAGTATCTTCATGTTTTTTATTGGCTTTATCCAGCTCGTCACTATAATGTGCAATTTCCCGTTCTGCCGATTTAATTTGTTGACTCAAGCGAATCAGATCGGATGAAATCTGACGGAGAAATAAATTAAAATAAGGTTAGTAAAAATTTCAACCAGCACAATAAGGTATGTGCCTATGCTTCTTCTTCTTTTTCTTTTCTCTGGTTCTGGAATACCTTGAGGTGTCGGGGCAGGAAGACATCTCTGGAACAGGCCCTTCTGTTCGCCTCGTATAAAGTATTTGTTAGTGTCTCTGATATTTCTTCTCCGTCTTCTATATGGTTGACCTCTGATTCTGTTACTGTTGTATCTGTGCAACATTGCTCTCTGTGGTGCCCTGTCTGATGCCAATCTTGTTACATGGCAATAACCATCTGATTTTTTTATCTACCTATAAAATTCAGTGTTGGTTCTGTGCCGACTCTCCTCCTGAAATCATAATTGCTAAGTTGATCTTTCCTTGTTACAGCTAGCACAGTACATAAACATTTCATTTGTTGTGACTATTTTCCTTCTGTCTTCTTAAGACAGAGTCCATGTTTTCATGGTAGTCTTAACAGCACTGCAATGCAATCAAACTGACCCCAGAACCCAGATGAAGCAAACCTCAAGACACAGAAAGAGTTTAAATGTGATGTATGAGAAACAAATCAATGAAGTGTTCTGATTAGCCGTTGGTGTGAACAGTTATAAGAAGATGGTGTAGTAGCAGAATATCAGCAGTGGAAAGATTCCCAACAAGTGCACATAGGTGATGACAGCACTTAAAGACATCAACAAATACTTTATTATTAACCTGCCATGCAGTAGGATTAAAGTTCAAGCTGGTTTCATAGAATTTGTTGCCTGTGGGATTTGAAGTGTTGTCTTTTCTTCTTTTTCTTCTGTAATGACCGGATGATGATGATGATGGTGACGGCTGATTATAGTGATGGCTGATTTTGGTGACTGTGGAATGATGACTGATGATGATGATTGTGGAATGATGACCGATCATGACGATGATGACTGCTGATGATGATGATAATTACTGATGTAAATGACTGTGGAATGATGACTGATGATGATGATTGCTGATGATGACTGATGAATGTGATAACCGCTGATGATAATGACTGTGGAATGATGACTGATGATGATGATTGCTGTTGAATGTTGAATTAAGAATCGACATCACAGCACTCAGGACACTCCCATAAGCGCTCCGTTCCCATCTTCAGCAGCAAGCGAAGAGTTAAAATTCCAATGGTACCAGTAACTGTCTGATTGTATATCCGTCTCGCCCTTCCCCTGAGTGTCGAGCATCGGCCAGATCCCCTTATAACTCCTCGCAGTGCTATTTTCATCAGACCGTAATGGAGAAAATATCCAAAGGAAGCTAACTACCTAGAACCTCTGAAATGATGCTTGCCACTCTGCACGAAGCATGCCTGTCTCCAATTTTCTCAGCATGCTCTGTGAGTCAGTTACAATGACGACATTTGTGTACAGCTGATTCTCAAGCCAGCAGTGACTGCCTCCACCTCCATTCTCAAACTAGAGGTTGTGATATCATATGCCAGGCTGTGTTGCACCAAGCAGCGTCCATTTGCCTTCGCTATGAACCCCCATGCACTTCGTCTACCCCTCACCACGGAGCCATCTGTATATACAATCACATCACTTGGGCGGGAATTGCCATGAATCATTTGTTGAACTTCTGATTCTGCAGCACCAGCTGGCCAGTCCCTGCACTCACATCCCAAAGTAATTAGAACCCTACACAAGTCTGAAACATGATAGGATACTTTGACCCACTCCTCTCTTCGCCTAAATTTATCAAGCCTGCACACATGTCCAATTGTGTCTTCAGCTTGCGCCATCCAAGACTTTCCTCTTTTCAGTCTGTGACCCTTAGCTATATCCAGGGTTTCATGCAGGAGGTGCCTCTTGTCTGCAGCTACTCTGAGATATGACTTTGCCTGCAGAACTTTGAGCCTATCTGCAAAAGTAGGCAGTGCAAGTATATATCACATACATACTACTGATGACTGCTGATGATGACAGATGATGATGATGATAACTGCTGATGACAATGACTGACTATGATCATAATGAATAATGATGATGCATAATGACTGATGATGATGGCTGATGATAATGACTGATGATAATGATAATGACCGCTGATGATCATAATGATTTAATGATGCCTAATGACTGATGATGATGATAATGATGACTACTGAAGATGATGATGATAATGATTGCTGATGATAATGACTAATGATGGTGACAATTATGATGAAAAATAAAAATTCAGTACCGTGTCCAGTTCATCGGAGGTCTCCGCCTGGGTTGCCTCTGACTGAGAATTCAAGTCAGAATATAAATTCTGAATCATCGACCCCATTCTGGGACCTAGTTTAGAGTTCCAAGTGCTACCCTGTGAAACGACAGGATCATCGAAACCTCCTGATGCATAGTTGGTTGAGATCATATCTACAATTTTGGCCTTGGCTTCGGGGTTTTCTCCTTCCATCAACACAGCCAGGTCTTCAGCCTCGTTTACATCTCTCTTCTGTCTTCCGGTCTCCACTGTCATCCCTGGTCTCAGCTCTTTTTCGGTTTCTTCAGTCTGCAAAGAAATGTGTGTGCTTCCATGCAGAACTGTGTGATTGTGTGTTATTGTGTGAAAACCATCAGGTCTTGTTGTGTTTACTAAGAAGAAATCCTTCTTTAGAAGCCTCAAGTCAGTGGCCACTGAGATTGATCCAAGAAAGGAACTTGTCGTTGAGTTGACTAGTATATTCAACCAATGTTTGGTGGAGGATGAAGATCCTATGGCTAGAGCTTTAATCCTGCACTCAGTGAAGTGTCTGTTGAGACAGAGAACAAAATAACACACAATAAACCATGACATAGAAACATTACTCTGCAGTCTTCTTCTTCTTCTTCTTCGATCCTTCTGTCAGAAAACTTATATAAGGAGGCCGGTAGCCTTTATGAAAGCTATCGTGCAATCCATATCCTCTCGTGTACCATACAGTTTTGTCTTCATTGTGGTTGGAACAGGCCAGATTGCGTCTCTGTTGTCAGCATACAGTTGACAGTGTTGGAGCACATGCTCAGCATTTTCGGGTGCCACGCTGCAGGGACACGTCTCCGTATTTCCTACACCGAAAAATTTGAACATATGTTGACGAAATCTGTTGTGCCCAGTCCTTAGTCTGAATATAATAGACTGTCCCTCTCTAGAGAGGCGATGAAGTGAGACTTGGGGAGAAAATCTGTTGTGGGTATCCAGCCATCTTTCTTGGATACTAGATTGTATTAGTGTTTTCATCTCTTGGTGGGTTAAGTCGCTATTTGGTTGTACCATGTCACTGCCGCTTCTGGCCAATCTGTCCGCTATTTCATTGCCTTCCAAGCCACAGTGACCTGGAATCCACTGCAGTACAGATTGTTCTACTGAAGAGCCTAAGTAAATCAGCTGTTGCGTCAAGTCTACAAACTGAGTGTCTTTTGGGTTAACAATTGCTTGTAGAACTGACATAGCATCAGTCAGAAAGACCACTCTGCTATATTTGCTGTGCTGTTGTCCATTCAGGAAAGAACATGCCGCTAGAAGTGCTTCTGCCTCTGCTCTGTAATTGGAGGAATATGAACCTGTTGGTACAGCCTGGTTGATTTTAAAACCATTTGGGCATTCTATGTATATTCCTCCTCCTCCGTCTCTTACTGCTCTCTTGGCTGAACCATCTGTATACACTCGAATCCAACTCTGGTGTGGGTAAAGTCTATTGATCTCTCGTTCTGTAGTTGATTTCATATCAGTGCTGCTCATTGATGATTTGGAGGAGACCCCTGTTACAGTGGTTCTGACTGTTGGTAGGCTATCCCTAAGCCAAGCGGGGCAGTCGTTGTAAGGTTTAAGTGGAACATTTGGTATTATGGGTGGAAGTTTAAGGACAGCAAGCTTGGCATTTGCGTTCTTAATAAAGCAAGTTCTCTTTAGTCTAGCCTTCTGGGGTTTCTGCAGTCGGCTGTACATGGGTTGTTCTTGAAAGTGGTGGTATTTGGAGAGCTGGGTGAGGATCTTTGTGTCTCTCCTATCTTCCAGATTATGGAGACCAGTAATTGTTTCCATATCTGATATGGGCGTGGAGCGCATTGCCCCTGTCATAATACGGAGAGCATGGTTTTGGATCTTTGAGACTTTCTGAAAATTAGATTTAGCTGCTGTGCCCCAAGCAGCTATTCCATCTTCTAATGTTGGCCTCACATAGCCTGTATAGGTCCTCTTAAGGACATTGAGGTTTGCCCCCCAGTCTGTTCCAGCTAACTTCCTCAATTTACTGTCTCTTCTTCTTCTTCCTCCTCCTTCACTGTTTCTTCTTCTTCTTCCTCCTTCACTGTTTCTTCTTCTTCTTCTTCTTCCTCCTTCACTGTTTCTTCTTCTTCTTCTTCTTCCACCATCACTGTTTCTTCTTCTTCTTCTTCCTCCTTCACTGTTTCTTCTTCTTCCTCCTTCTTCTTCTTCTTCCTCCTTCACTGTTTCTTCTTCTTCCTCCTCCTTCACTGTTTCTTCTTCTTCTTCCTCCTTCACTGTTTCTTTTTCTTCTTCTTCTTCTTCTTCTTCCTCCTTCACTGTTTCTTCTTCTTCTTCTTCCTCCTTCACTGTTTCTTCTTCTTCTTCTTCCTTCACTGTTTCTTTTTCTTCTTCTTCCTCCTTCACTGTTTCTTCTTCTTCTTCTTCCTCCTCCTCCCTTTTCTTCCTCCTTCTTCTTCTTCCTCCTTATTCTTCTTCTTTTTCTTCTTCGTCGTCTTCTTCTTTCTTCTTCTTCGTCTTCTTCTTCCTCCTCCTTCTTCTTCTTTTTCTTCTTTGTCTTTTTCTTGTTCTTCTTTTTCTTCTTCTTTGTCTTTTTCTTCTTTTTCTTCTTCTTCTTCTTATTTTCTTCTTCATGTTCTTCTTTTTCTTCCACCCTTTATCCTTCAATGAAGTGTAAGCTTCCAGCTGATCTCATGTCCTTTCCATCACTGTTTCTTCTTCTTCTTCTTCCTCCTTCACTGTTTCTTCTTCTTCCTCCT